GTGAGAAAACATGTTTGTTAGTTCAAGATGCCTTGTGCACAATACAACAGTTTCCAGGACAGAGAGGACAACAAAACATATAAAGAATAAATCCAAGCTGCTTAACTTTCTACAATTCTCTTGAGTAGTAAGCCCAGGCCACTCTTGGCCATTTGCAGGGGTGTCTTTTTTTCTTTATTCTCAATGTAAATACTTGCTCCTTGGGTCACCAGTAATTTTGCTTCTTCCAGTCTCTCCTCTTCACAGGCTAAGTGTCTGAAATTGGGGATCACAAAGATTAGTCACTACCAGTTCTATATAATGGTTAGGATAAGCCTAAACTGCTTATCGCTGGACAGTGGTGACATTGGAAAGTTATTTCATCAGGAAAGGGAAATCAATTAGCACGGCAAAGAGTATAAATTAAACTTAACTAGAATAATTATATAACACCGGATTACCTATCTTACTTCTGGCTCTACTAAAACAGCTGGTTGGCTCTAAATGCTAGCCTAAGGCACAACTTCCCCATTCGATGGAGATTACTGGTAATTTCCTCCAAACACTTCAATGTAATCATAATGCAGGATTAGAACTGAGAGAAGCTTCAGTTCATGTTGTGCTTCTGTAACAAGTAATGACTTTCAGAAAAAGAGCTGATCTCACTTGACTGGTATGTCTACACGGACAAAGCAAGGTACAATTAGCACTGTTATACAGTACAAGTTGTCACAGAGGTTAAAGGTCTTGTTATAATGACAGAGCTCACCAGTTAACTTGTTGAATCAAAGAAACCAACCTCTGCCAGTCACTTCTATAGACTCTGACAGGCAAAGAATTCAGCACTTTACATGGCCTTTTATTTAAACCTCACATTAACCCAGTGAGGAAGAAATTACTGCTATAATGTTATGGAGAGGAAGGAAGGTTAAGTTCCTTAACATGCACGTGTAATGTAGTTACAAAGTGGCAGCTTTTTACTGAAGAACAGTATCCATCCAATGCTAAATCCTACTTTCTCCCAAGGACCCTATACTATCTGATTCCTAGACTATTTCCAGGCCAACGTGATTAATACGTCATGGAGAAATAAGCTAGAATATCCATTAAAACACACAGTTGCTTAGGCCTACAAGAAAGATTTTCAAGTAAGAATTAAGAAAACAATACTTTTCTTGGTCTCCATTGGGTCCCTACCCTTGGAGATCAGGGAACCCTGTGGAAGAGTGGGAGGAAAGACTGTAGTCAGAGGAGATGGAGGACTCTAGGAGAACATGGCCCACCAAATAAACTAAGTAGGGCTCATTTGGGATCACAGAGACTGAAGCAGCAAGCTGGGCCTGCATGGGTCTGCCCCCAGGTCCTCTGCATGCATGTTATGACTGTTAGCTTTGTTATTGGGGAATTGTTTTGCCTGCACACTGGGTTGCCTGATCCAGCCTTGTTTTGAGGGCTTTTGCCTTGTCTTACAGTATCTTGTGCTGTGTTTGGCTGATATCTTTTAGAAGCCTGTTCTTTAATAACGAGGAAATGAGGGGTAGTGGATGTGGGGGAGAGGAGAGGTAGGAGAAGCACAGAGGATTGGAGGAAGAGAAAAATGTGGTTGGGATGTATTGAATAAAAGAAGAATCTATTTTCAATAAAAAAAGAAAACAATACCTTTTTATGACAGGATCTCTCTATGAAACCCTGAATAAAATAGAAACTTGCTGTGTAGACAAGGCTGGCCTTGAACTCAAAGAGGTCTGTCTGTTCCTGTTTCTCCCCACCACCGTGGCAAAGTAGTTATGTTTGTTTGCTTGCTTTTGTTTTTGTAAACAGGGTCTCACTATGGAGCCCTGGCTGGAGTGGAACTAGCTCTGTTGATCAGGCTGGTTCGAACTCACAGAGATCTGCCTTTCTCTGCCTCCCCAGGACTGGGATTAAAGGCGTGTGCCGCCAAGATCAGCCCTTGAAAACAATACTTTCAAAAGCTGTCTTCAAGTCAGAAGGGAAAAGGTTCAGCCTTATTCTACACTACAAAAAAGACCCCAAATTTCTGATTCAAGAAGTCATGATTCAACAAAGGAGAAAAATGAGTATGAAAAACCATACAGACACACACCAACCAAGGTAAAGGTTGGCTACAAGTTATCCACGTCAATTAATCCCAGGTGGATTTAAGAGTCACAGAAGTGAATACTTCATTCATCTCAGGCTTTCTAGTTGTGGTGGAAATTAATAGGTTTGGCCACATAGTAACTGATAACTCCTGACAGTAGTTGAAAAATCATGCGCAAATAAATAGACTGGGAAAATACTTTCAACTGATACGGCATAATGTTCCTACTGTGTCAAGAGCACTGAAAAATCAGTCACAATGACAAAAGGGCAAACTATATGACATGCTGAGGCCCCCAATGCCACCAGGACGAACGGAGAGGTGGTGGAGAGCTGGGGAAAAGGAAAAACAAAGAGGATTTTTATGTTTTGTTTTTGTTTGCTTGCTTTTTCTTGCTTACTTTGTTTTTTGGGGGCTTTTTTTTTTTTGCCGGAGGCACTGCAGGGATGAGAGGAAGATAAAGGGGAATGAAAAGGTAAACAGAATTGGGGTACATGACGTGAAACTCCTAAAGAATAAAGTTTTAAAAAAAAACTGTCAAAAGAAAGAAATTCCCCTAAAAGGGAACAGAAAGGCCGCAAAATTACGATCTTGGGCATTAATAAATTTCAAAATCAGTAACAAGATGTACTTTCTAAGCATGAAATGTTATCATACAACACGAGGGTAATCTGAGTGCTGACGGGGAGGTATTAGGTACTGTTAAAATGCTATTGGGAGGGTACAATGAGACAACTCCTCTGGAAGCAATTCGTCTTCAAGTATGTGTATTTGTTGAAACAATCAACTTCTAGGAATCTCTCTAAGGCCATAATCAGCAATATGGCAGAGGTTTTTTTTTTCTTTTTTTTTAAGCAAATTGGTCAATGCAACATTACTTAAAATGGCCAATGGTTCAGAACTGTTTAAGTAAACAGTATCAGGAATGATTAAATCATGGCACATCCATACAATGGAATTGTATACAGCCATCATGAATGTTTTAAACATATTTAATGACACTGAAAAATGCTCACAATGTGCTATGAGATTAAAACATAAGTTACATGATCTCAATTTTGTGTATATCTGCATATAAACAACTGGAAAAATACTCAAAATTTTCTATCAATATTTTTTGGGGATAGCAAAATGATAGGCAATTTTAGTTTTTGTCATTATACTTTGGTATCCTTTCAATTTCTTTTGTTCTTAGCATGTATTGCATTTATAAGCAGAATAAAAATGACTGCTATTTGTCACTTACAGAGGAGTGTTACCCTCAGTATCTTGGATGTTTGTGGCTGCTTTGTAGAACAGAAGAATATGAACCGTCTTCAAGTTACCCTTGGCTGCTGCCCGGTGCATTGCTGTAGCCTCATAATGGTCCTTAGCATCTGGATCAGCTCCACCTTCCAGTAACATGGCAGCAATCTGGAAAGAAGGACAAGAAAACAATGAGGAAACCTATGTTCCTACATGTGATTAGAACGCAAAGGAAAAGCATGCCGGGACAGAAGCATACCTCATGCCTATTTTTTGAGGCTGCATAATGGAGAGGAGTGCAGCCATTTTGGTTGACAGCATTCACGTGTGCGCCTTTCACCAGAAGGGCCTTTACAATCTCATCCCGGCCAGCAGAAGCAGCAATATGCAGAGGAGACCAGCCTGCCTGTATAAAAGGTGAGTTTAACAAAAGTCAAGGAGAAAAGTATGAACATTAACATGTATTCAGGTTTATAGTTCTGTATTCTCTTGCATTTAAAGGCATCATGGGAAATTTGGAAATAAAAATTTATACAAACGAAAAAGGAGGAGCTGGAGAGATGACTCCAGTTAAGAGCACTTATTGCTCTTTCAAAGAACCTTCCTTTAACTTAGACTGCTCACAATGGACTGTAATTCCAGCCCCTGGGGATCTGATGCCCTCTTCTGGCCTCCAAAGGCAACTGCACATAGTTGGCATCCACTCACAGATAAACACAAATAAAAACAAAATAAACCAAATAGCCACAATCCTATAACATAGACATGGTGTATTATACTAATTCTAATGGGTTTTCCCCCATACAATAACTTGAAAAAAATAAAAAGTAGAATCAGAGTATATGAAGTTCTGTGAGGTGTGTTTTTCACAATTTCTACTTCTAAGAATGTTTCTGCCATTCTTTGGAATGACTGATGGCATATTAAAGTACGAAGTATGTACCCCATGCTCTATTCAATCATTCTCCCATAAAATCATTTTCATTTTCTCTTAGAAACATACTTCAGTAAACATCTCTGAAAATTAACCTGTTCCTACAAACAAAAAGACTTCCATTCTCAGTTTTTGTGAGTCTTATCTTTTTACTTTTGTGTATATGCATGTAGGCCAAAATGGGGTGTCAGGTCCTCTGAAGCAAGAATTACAGGAGGTTGTGAGGCACCCAGCATGGGTACTGGAACCAAACTTTGGTCCTCTCCAAGAGCAGCAAGCATTCTTAACTACTGAAACATCTCCCCAGCTCCCCACAAGTCTTATCTTAATATAATCAATATCATTATAATAAATGCTTCTACGTAACACACATATACCCAGGCCTTTATTACTCAGGCAATATTCACCAACAATTTAAACATGAAAATGTTTAGAGTCTTTTTGAGTTCATAATAAGCCCTGCTCTGTATTTCCACCTTGAATTACAGAGATTCATTACCATTGTAAAATAATGCAATCATTAGCCTCCGGCCTGTAACTTCCTACTTATAAAGGTTCAAATTTTGTTTATGAGCTTTATATTCAGGCTTCACTAAATACAAGGCTGGAGTCTAAAGATAACCCAGAGCTTATCAAATTTGCCTAGTACTCACGTCATCTTTATCATTCACCGGCACACCAAGTTCCAGCAAGAATTCAACAATTTCTGTATGACCGGCTGAGCATGCCCAGTGCAATGCTGTTCTGCTGTCCTATGTGGGAAACAGGGGAGCACAGCTATCAACATTCCTGAAGACAAATAGGCACACCTACAGGTTGATGCCAGCACACCTACAGGTTGAACATAAGAAATGGAGAGTGCCAGGTCCTCAGGTAAGTAACCTTAAACCGTATTACTAGCATTTGAGAGGCCAAGCTATTAGTAGCATGGGGTGAGTGATATCAACGAACGTAAGGAATTCTGGGCAGAAAGGAATGATGAAAGCATTAGTCCCAGCAGAGATGGAGATGTGCTGTGTATAATTCCAACACTTACGCATGCCTATGCGAAACACTGTGACTTTTATATACATCATTTCTTTGGACCCTCACCATGCTCTGTGGTCCCTATTACGCCTCATTTTACATGTAAGGTCACTCAGACTACTTCACATAAGCAACGGATCCAGGGCCACACAATTTATCCAAGCTCTGTGACTGTGAAATCTCTATTACCACACAGACTTCAAGTGAGGTTCTACAAAGATGTGAATTTTTTTGGGGGGTGGTGGTGGTCAGGATCTTGCTATGTAAGTCAATGTTAGCTTCAAATTCTCAATCCTTTTCCTCCTACTTCTAAGTGCTAGGATTACAGGCGCATGCCACTGTTATCTGGTGAACACAAATGTTATGGAGAAAGAAATAATAGTTGAATTGCATAGAATCAGTGCAATAAAATTGATTTTTTAAAAATAACAAGGTAGGAATCATGATTCTCAAGGAGAGTGCCTATTGGTGTTGATTGCTATGCTTCTCAGCCTTGAGTACTGTAAAGTGTTGATTGTATGCATATATATATATATATATAGTGTGTATAAATATATATATAGTGTGTGTGTGTGTATCAAACCTAGGGCCTCCTGCAAGTGCTCTACCACTGAGCCTTTAAAGTAACTTAACTGTGACACTCAGGGAGTTGCCTGGTTTTGGGGAGAGGATCTAGAAGAAGGAAAAGAAGAAAAGAACTGGCATCACTTGATGCTTCTGCTGGTGCCCAGGGAGGGAACCAACTAGAAGTCTCACTGCTGTGGACACCTGTGGCTTTCCCTGTCAGTGTCCCCAGACAGCAATTAAACCTTATGGAAATTTCAAATACAAATAAAATAAAGGGAGTATGACAGAGACAGAGACCCACATGCGCCCATTACCTAGCTTTAACCAAAAATAGCTCACCATATTTACTTCTAGATTGTTACTAGTTAAGTTTTTAAGAGTTATTGCATGTGTGTGGGTTTGTGCACGTGACCTCATGTGCATGGGGAGGCCAGATGAACTGAACTCTGGTCCTCTGGAAAAGGAGTATATACTTTTTTTTATTTAAAAAAATTTTTTCTTTACTTTAAAAATATTTTTTACTATTTATTTTTAAAAAACTATCTTTTCTCATTTTACCTACCAATCCAAGTTCCCACTCCCTTGGCTCCCTCCATCTTTCCCCCCATTCCACTCCCCATCCACCCCTCAGAGAGGGTAAGGCCTGCCATGGGGAGTCAACAAAGTCTAGCACATCACTTTGAGGCAGGACCAACACCCTCTCTACTATATTTAGGCTGAGAAAGGTATCCCTCAAAAAAAATGGGCTTCAAAAAGTCAGAACAAGCAGTAGGGATAAATCCTGGTTCCACTGCCAGTGGCCTTGCCGTCTGCCCCAGCCATACAACTGTCACCCACATTTAGAGGGACTAGTTTGGTCCTATGCTGGTTCCCTCACTGCCAGGCCAGAGTTGTTGAGCTCCCATTAGCTCAGGTGAGCTGTTTCAATGGGTGTCCCCATCATGGTCTTGACCTCTTTGCTCATATTCTCACTCTTCAAATGGAGAGCAAAGAAAGAGATATCTTGATGAGGGAGCCATTATGGGGCTAGCCAGAAACCTGGCTCTAGAGAAATCCCCAAGAATCCACAAGGATGACCTTAGCTAAGACCCTAAGCAATAGAGGAGAGGGTGCCTGAACTGGCCTCGCCCTGTAGTCAGATTGATGACTATCTTAAATATCGTCTTAGAACCTTCATCCAGCAACTGATGGAAACTGAGGCAGAGATCCAGAGCGGAGCACTGGGCCCAACTCCCATAGTTCAGTTGAAGAGTACGTACTCTTAACCACCTATCTACCTCTTTGGCCCTGCTGAGGTTTCTTTTAAACAGAACACTAAATGTCATGATTGTTCATCTCTAATTATTTAGCACTCACAAAATAAAAGTGCTTTTGTCGCATGCCTTTAATCCCAGCACTCGGGAGGCAGAGGCAGACAGAACTCTGTGAGTTCGAGGCCAGCCTGGGCTATAAGAGCTAGTTCCAGGACAGGCTCCAAAGCTACAGAGAAACCCAGTCTCAAAAATACCAAAAAAAAGGGAGGGGGCTTTTGTAAGAAACCACAAGATCATTATTAGATTTTTAAAATTAACGTTAACTCTTTGTCACGGATGGAACGCAAACCTTCCAGGACTTAAGTATATAGGAAGGGCTCGAGCAGGACCACCTGGGTTACATAGAAAGATTATATCTTAAATAATATCCATAAATTGCATTTGGTTGTTTGTTCGGCTTCATAATCCTAACTTTCTCTTTTATGCCACTGACTTGATTGAAGCATGGTTACATTTTCAAGAGTCTTAGTATAATTCATTTTATTAAATTTAAACCATATTACCAGACAATAACAAAAGCAAACTGCGTGAACATAGGGGAAGTCTCCTGTTGAGTAATAAAGGAAAATTTCAAAGAAAACAGTCCCTTCATTTTGAGTTATCTTCTAAAAAAAGACAGAACATGGAGAATTTGAAGTATTATACACTGTTTACTAGTGTTTAACACCATATCTATCAAACAGAAAGCAATCTATGATTTAGAAAGTTATGAAGAAAACATGAGATGTTGATCAGAACAGAATCATTTCCCAATGTCCTCAGTTCACTCGATCCCATTCGAGGTGGAAATCCATTCTTTGTTCACGGTGGAAATAGCCTCCCCTTCTACACAAAGCCCTTTCTGACTATTCCTAGAGTCTTCCCTTTGCATGTTCTGAAGTGAATACATAAAGTTCTTTCGGGGGGAAGTTTACAACATGTAATAAGATGAATTTTGTCGTTATTTCAGTTTTGCCTGCTTTTTCTACATAACAAAAATTCCCGGGTCCTCTCAAACTCCCTGGCACAAAATTCAGTTACACGTGTTCGATTTAATGGGATTACAACGAAAGAAAAAGAAATCCACATAAAAAGCTGTGTCTTGAAGCCTGGGCATTTCTGAGAAAAGCCGTGGATGATCTAGGAATATAAGAAATTCAGCGAGCTGGTGCTTGGCCCCTCCCCCTCCCCCCAAAATGTCAGTTGTGGGCTAGAGTTGGACAGCAAGTCTTGAGCTAACCCAAGGCTACAATAGGGAGGAAGGGGCGGGAGGAGCTCAGAAATGGCCTTGGACCAACTCAACACCGCGAAGCCTCGTAGGGCTTCGCTAACGCCCGCGGCTAAGCGCCAGGCCCTCGGGCTGCTTTACCTGATCGGTTCTAGTAGCCAGAGATTGATCGGCCAAAATGCGCTCCTTCAACTCATCCAGTTTCCCGGTGTAGGCCAGGTTGCAGACCATTACGTTAGACACACTCCCCTCCATTTCGCCTTCCGAGAATCTTCGTGAAGCTCAAGCTCCGCCCACTCACGGCTCCTGCTCGGGTAGCCAATCAAAGAGCTCGAGGTTCTCCAATCACTGTTCTCTCTGCTTTCCGTGTTGCCCGCCCCGTAGCCCGGAGCTTCTGGGAGTTGCAGTTTGATGGCATTTCCGGGCCTGAAGGCGGTTTAGCCTGCTATTCGGTTCCGGCTCCTAGCAGTGTGGAACTACAAGTCCCAGGATCCTCTGAGAAAGCCGTAGTCAAGTTGCCGGTGGAATTGGCCCAGGATGACAGCTGGAGAATGGAGTCAGGTAATGGGAGCGGCTTCTGGAGGCACTGTGTGAAAGAGCTAGGGTGGGTGGTCGTTGGTAGGCCAGTAAATCGGTCACATGAAAGGGATACTATACCAGGCCAAGAGCCTTCTGGGACCCTAAAGATCTTGTCCCTCTGGGCCCTCACTTGCAGTGGCAGGCGGAAGGGACAGTAGTTGGAGCTGAGTACTACCACTTGAGCTTGAACCACTGACTGTAGCTACCCTCCCCCTCCCTGCCACTGTCCAAGGAGCGGAAAGAAGCGCAGGCTAGTTACCCTGGCATCTCGGCGAGTGGCATCAGAGTAGGATTCTGCCACAGCAGCGGTTAACACATGACACCATACAGAGGTGATGTGCCAGAGTGATGCTAAAGACAGGGTGTGATGCCATAGGAGCCACTCGATATCTAAGAGATCTCAGTGAGTCTGTAGCCTGGTGACATCGCTACTTAACTGCGGTCACCTTAGGGATACCAGGGCATGATGTCACTTTAATATCCTGGTAATGGCAATTACATCGAGGCTTGCTAAAATGTTAAGCTAACAATGTGGGTTTTAAAGAGGGAAATTCCAAATAGTGCTGTAGCAGAAGAGAGGCAAGGCTTGTCTTTTATAGAGCGTATCCGAAAGTGTATTAGAAAAGTGCTGAGAATATATTTTAAAAGTAACTGATTATGTTTATGTCTCTCCTGTTGTGGGATAGAACAGGGCTTAGCAAAGTTTATGTAAAATGCCAGATCATAGATATTTTAGGCTTTTTCAGGGCAAATGGTAAAACCAAGTACAGAAGACAAGTTATGACAAAAGTTAATTGGTGAAATTCTAGATATAATAATAGTAGAATATATTTTTCACACAGAAATACTGAGATCAGAATTCTTTGAGGGATGTAATATTTTGCTTAATTGAGGTTTAAAGTTATTATTCTCTATCATCAAAATCAATTCCAGATGTTCTTTAATGAGATTTTATCCATTTTAATCAATAGGAAAGTCTTTGAAATATCTTTTAACACAGAAGGCTACTGCCAAATATTGATAATCCACAACCATATTCTTTTTTAAAGACTATTTTATTGATTTTATTGATTGTGTGTGTCTCTGTGTCTGTCCTCCCCATCCCNGTGTGTACGTGCCTTGGCATTGCGTGTGGAAGTCGGAGAATGACTTTTGGGAGTTGATTCTTTCCTTCCATCATATGGCCCTGAGGATTTAGCATAACTCATCAGGCTTCCTTGTGGAACCATCTCTAAGGTCACCAGTTTTAATTTTGATTTAAATAAATTTAAACATTTTTTTCAGAACAGTTTTAGATTTGAAGGAACGTTGCAAAGTCAGGTGGTGTGACTCATACCTTTAATCCCAGCACTTGGGAAGCAAAGGCAGGCAGATCTCTGTGAGTCTGAGACCAGCCTGGTCCACTGAGCAAGTTCAAGGACAGCCAGGACTACTAGCGAGAAGGCGTCTCAAAACAATTGTTGCAAAGGTCGTACAGAATTCCTACATATTCTCCACCCAGTTTTACCTTCCCCTCCCTTTCACAATCTGATTGTGATAACACACCATAAAATTCAACTGGGGCTAGGGGTGCCTAATAGTAGAACATTTAGCAGACCTGTGCAAGGCTCTAGGTTCAATACTCGGCACGACAAAGCTAAATAAAACACACCTATTTAATTACTGATTATTAGTAAGTTTCAGGGTTGTGTGGCTATCACAATGAATCTGTTGTATAACATTTTGATCGTCCCAGTAAGATTTCATGCCCATTTTCAGTTCATCTTTATCCCCACTTCCTGCCCAGGCAGCCACTAGTGTACTCTTTGTCTTTATAAAATTGCCCATTCTTAATTAACATTTCACGTAAATGAAATCATGTAATATGTGGTCTTTTGAGTCTGGCTTTTTTCACTCAGTGTAATGGTTTTGAGAACTTAACCATATTGTTACATGCGTAAGTACTTCCGTACTTCTGTTGCCTAATAATATTACAGTGTATGGGTAATACATTTTTGGGTACCTACTCACCAATTGATAGAAACTTAGTGTTTTTTTTTTTCTCTCGCTGTAAGCTATTATGACTAATGCTACTTAGGACACTTGTTTTCGCATCTTTGTGTGGATGTTTGTTTTCATCTCTTGTTACTAGATACCTGAAGGTGGAATTCCTGGGTAACAGGACAATTTATGTTTAGCTTTTAAAGCAATTACAAAACCGTTTTCCAAAGCAGCAGCTGCAGTCTGTGCAGGAGGCTTCTTGTTGCATCATGCACATTTGTTATTTACTGGGCTCTTGTTGCTGTTTTGTTTGAGAATGAGGCCCAGATGACTTCAAACTCACAATCCCCCTGCCTCAGCCTCCCAAATGCTGGAATTTCAGGTATGTGCCTTACCCTTTAAAACATTGTAGCTATTTAAGTTGGTATGAAATGATATATTAGTTACAATGTTTATTTTCATATGGAGTGGCTAGCGGTGGTAAACTTCTTTTTAAGTGCTCTTAAACCATTGGTGTATCTTCTATACATGAGGATCTGCTTCTGTGTTTATTTCCACTTTAAAAGTGGGTTGTTGTTTACGTGTTGACTTGTAACAATTATTTCCAGTCTAAATCCAAGTCCCCGGCAGGTATATGATATGCAAATACTTACCCCTACTTTGTCCTCTTTTTTTTTTTCCTTTTGCTTTGTTTTGGTTTTGTTTGTGCTATTTTGAGACGTGGTCTCACTGTGTATCCCAAGCTAGTCTCAAACTTGCAATCCTTCTGCCTTTGACTCCCCAGTTGCATTTTCAGGTGTGTGCCCCTGTTGTTTGGCTTTCTTCACCACAATGGTATGTGTTTTGAAGGAAAAGGTTTTGAACTTTTTGTTTGTTTGTTTTCAAGACCTCTGTGTTCTGGCTGTCCTGGAACTTACTCTGTAAACAAATTTGGCCTTGAACTCGCTGAGGTCCGCCCGCCTTTGCCTCCCTAGTGCTGGGATTAAAGGTGTGGGCCACCACCACCTGGCGATTTTTTTTTTTTGAGACAAAGTCTCACTCTGTAGACCAGGCTGTCCTGCAACTCACTGTGTAACCCAGGCTTGCCCCAGACTCATAGTGATTCTCCTACCTCAAGATCTTCTCTCTCTCTAGTGTTGTATCTAGTTAAGACTTTAGAATGGTACGACTTTGATGAGTTGATTCCACATGTTTTCTTCTGGAATTTTGGTTTTTCTCTTTTGCATTTAAGTCTATGATCCATTTTGAGTTAACTTTTCTATATGGTGTAACATCAGGTTAGCTAAGGTTGTTATCCAGATGTTCTAGCAGTATTTGTTGAATCTTTTGTTTTAATTCACTTTTCTATCATTATCACAACAGATAAACACACATTGTCCATTGTAATCAACTTTTCTCCATACTTTGCTCCAGTTTCATTAGTTTTTCTGTGGGCAGTGTCCCATCCATGGTCCTATGAATCACATGGTGTTTCTGTATCTTTAGAAGCTTGTGACAGTTTCTCAGATTTTGCTTGTTTTGCTGACTTTGGTAGTTTTGAAGTGTACTTGTTAGGTATTTTTTAAAGTCTATTTTCTTATGATTGGATAGGGGTACAGGAGCATAGGATTTTAACTGACCATATTTGCTGCTTGAGAAATAAGTCTATTGTCGTGTTTGCTTTGGGAAATGCCATTACGTTGCAGGTTAATCACTTCCAACGGACGGTTAGGTGAAAGCTCCTCACCTGCACAGGGAAGTGGATCTTGGGCTCTGGGAATAATCTTTCCACTTTCCACTTGGTCTTAAGGTCTCAAAACTGCTGCTAGAACTTCAGTGTGAACTCAAGTGTAATATATGTTGGAAACTTGTGCGCGATTGGAGATGCTGCTCGTGTTTACCGTATGCTAAGAGGCAGCTATATTGTGATATCATTTGCATATAATAAATCTCATTGTGTCCCGGTGTTAAAAGTTCAGTGTACTTGGTTATAAATATATACTGTTGTGTAACCAACACCAAAGTTGAGATATAAAATATTTCCATGATTCTCCCAAATTGTCACATGCTTCTTTGTGGTCACTCTCCCCCCCCCCCCCACTGTTCTTGACAACTCCCAAGCTGATTTTTGGTTTGTAATTTTTTAAGCACACAATTTAATGATTATAAGTATATTCAGAGTTATGTTACCACTCCCAAAAGCTTGCTTTTAATCATCTGCTTTACCTAAGAAGGAATATTTGTATCTATTGTCATTCTTCCTTTTGCTCTCCTTATACAAACATTATTCTATAGGTTTCCACTTTATGAGCATTAACTATACAAATAAGATAATAACATGTGGTCTTTCATGGCTTGTTTTGTCACTTAATAGAATCATTTTAAAATTTATACAAATGTATCATCACCCCATTTCTTTTTATGAATGAATATATACCATTTTATGTCAGTTACATATTTTGTTTAGCCATTCATTAGTTTATGGCCACTTGGGTTATTATTACCTTTTGTTTCTTCTAAATATGGCTGCTATACTTTATATGTAAGTTTCTGTTCAGACATGTACTTTTATTTCTTTGTGTACATATTTAGGGGTGGAATTTTTGGATCATAGTCATATGAACAACTCCATTTAACAGTTTGAGGGAGCGTCAGACTCTCCCAAAGTGGCTGTTTTATCTTCCCACAATAATGAATTTGGATGAAAAACTTTCTACAATGAACTATATGTATCGATATATTTCTTTTTGTTATAGCTAGTAGTGGGTATGAAGTACCATTCCATTGTTTTGACTTGTCCCAGTACCAGAAGTATATAAAGGGTCTTGCCATCCCTGATAGTTCAGACAATATTAGGCATTAAAATGGTTTTACTCCATCTTCACTTGGAATTTTTGTTTTCTAACTTTAGGTTGAATTAAGACAAATTATCAAGTTGGCAGCAAAAGCTAATTTCCAAAGCTAGCCAGTGTTCAGCAATTGTGGTTGAAGGTGGTTCCCACGCTGTTTCAAAATGTAAACAT